ACGATCACAATTATTCTAGTACAGCATAAAGTTAAACCCCTCTGCTGTAAAAAAAAAAAAAGAGCAACTTAATACCATAAAATTTCAAAAATACCCTTAATGAAATTACACAAATATTAGATAGGTCCTTGAACCCTAGGGAGTGGGGTCCTATTCCTATCAAACCCTACGGCGATCGTATCATCAAGGAACCTGTGACTGATTTTGTGTTGCATTAATAATTTACTTATTTTGTACGAAAAAGAATAATACTCCAAAGCATTGGATCCTAACTGCTGCATTTGGAAAATCAAATGAGAGCCAAAGTTGTACAGTATGCTGTTGATGATTTTGAAGGTTGAGAATTGATTTAACATAACTATTATTTTGTTTACTGTTTTAAGTCTTTTTTTTAAAGCTTTTTAGGCTTTAGGGTTACGTGCTAATCTATATAGCATGAATATTTCTAAAAAACGTTATACCTTTGTTGGACATGTATCGAAAGCGAACGTGTCTCCGACACTCCTTATCACGTCCGACACAACAAAAAATGTGTCTATTTTTTTTCCAAATCTAGACATGTACGGGACATGCTTTGACAAGACATCAGACATGGGCTAGACACAATTTAGGAAAAACTAAGACACAAGAGTAGAAAATTATAAATAGACGCATAACTCTAATTATAACTCATAGTCAAATCGTCTCCTCTGTTGTTGTGTTGATGCTTTCTTCAACATTCGTTGAAGCAAGGTCGTTAGCATCAAAGATGCATAAAACATTCGTTGAATCCAGCATTGGCAGTTTCCTTTTTCTTTGTTGAAGTCGGACATCAAAGGTCCATCTTGATTCTTTGAAGCCAGTGTTGGAGTTCCCTTTGTTTGTCGAAGTCGAACCGACACCTACTGAAGTTGAAGTTGTAAGCTTCTTTGTCGTGACCTAAGTAAGAGTCGAATCTATTCATTGAAGTCGATCCAAATGTCCTATGTCAAAGCCAAAGCCGAACCCTGTAACTCTTATGTTGAAGCCTTTTTTTTTTCTTAGAACCAACTGGAGTTATAACTGCTATAGATTTGTAAGTTATAATTTTATTTTTCTTTTGCTCTTTAATGAGTTAATAGTTATACATCTATACTTTTTATAATTTTAAAAGTTAAATTTAAACTTAAATAATTGAGTAAGGTGTAATTGTAGGTAATTTTAAATTTTAGTATGTAAGTTGAAGGAAGTTTTCTTAAACATATAATATGTATAATTTTGAAATATGGTTGATTTTGTAAGCATAAGGTTTCATAATGCAAATTAAATTTATTAAGCTAAATTTTATTCTTGCATACTTTATTTTGTGATGTCTTTATTATAAATAATGATAATATATATAATTTATACTAGTAATTTATTAAATGTGAAAGTATGTCTATGACGTGTCGTGTCCTATTATATATATATATATATATATATATATATATATATATTTGTGTGTGTGTGTGTT